CCTCATGGCTCTTGGGTCCTTTAATCCCGTTCATCCAGTGGTTGTTGAGACCCAGCATTGGCTGTTTCTTGTTCACAGTAAATTTAAGTCGGTTGAGTTTTGTTGGGTTCCCAGCCATAGTCTCTTTAAATGAGCGTGCGTATGCTGCCGCCAGGGAAGCTGTCCGCTCTTGTCCCATCTCTCGTAAAGGTATTCCTTATTCCGATTTTTACCAGGTTATCCATTCCTCCATCCTTACCTGTTGGCAGGCTTGTTGGTCTTCTGTTACTGGTAACAAACTGCGTACTCTTAAGAGTTGTGTGTCCTCGTGGCCATTCTCCTACCACCGTAACTGGTGATGGGAAACGGCTCTAGCGAGGTTGCGTATTGGCCATACTCGCTTAACTCACGGTCACTTAATGGAGCGCCGCCCAGCTCCTTATTGTCCACAATACATTGTCCCTCTTACTGTCGTACATATCCTTGTTGAATGTCGTGACTTCCAGGACGAGCGTGTGTCTTGCTTTTCGACCGCCCCTCGTGGTCACTTGTCACTTGATAAAATTCTTGGTGACTCGGATACAGTACTTTTGATATCGTTCGCCTTATGCGTTTTTGTTCTCATATTGGCATCCTTGGTGATATTTAGCGCCCTCTGATTATTCCGCACATTTGGTGGTGCTACATAGCCTTCCCGGTTTGGTGCCTTCTTTTGATAATTACTACTTGGTCAACCCGTTTCGCGAGTTGCCCCTTCCAGGGTGGATACGGAGGCATTCGAGTCCGTTCCTCCAGCCATGGCTCCGGGGTCTGACCAGTGAGCCCATCGTCTTCCTGCGGTTCAGCTTCATGTGCAGCCCTCTCTGTCAGCTGCACTTGTGGCTGAGGATTGCGCGCGTGGGGCTCATTGGCTTCGGTCCTGCACTTCTTTTCCCTCCTTGAACTGTCTTCCAATTGGCTTACGGAAGATGTAGAGGCACTCGGCGCCGTTCCTGGTTCTAGTGCCTTGGCCTTGGCTGCTCGTGCGTCATCTGCGCTTTTGAAGCTGTTTGCGCCGATTCAGTGGGATGCGCTGTTGTAGTTTTTCACTGCACGCCTCGCGTGTCAGCAGGTGGTGCTCGCTTCCTCCTTGGAATGCGCTTGGGCCCTGGCTCTTAGATTGTCTTCTCCCTTTTGTCCCTTGTTATTTGTGGCTTCTGTGGTCGAACAATATATGCAAGTGGTTTCCTCCAGCTGCTGTCTAATGTCTGACTTGTTGGTTCTCTGGGGGGTCCTGGGTGGGTTCCTCCCAGAGGGATCGAGCCAGGGGTTCCGCTTATCGAGGTGGGCCATAGGTGCCAGTTTTGGAGCCGGTGTCGCCTTCGGTCCTGGCTGCCCCTGGTCGGCGCGGTGCTCGCTCTGTGCGCAGTTTGGGTTCTCGTACGGGGCGTCGGCCCTTTCACAGTTTGCACTATTGATGGGGCGATGGGGGGGGGGGGGGGGGGAAGCTTGCTCTGTTCGCTCACACCTGGTCCCACAGTTTGTGGGCCTTTCGGGTCGTTTCTTGCGGCCTTTGTTGGCGTTGGGTAACTCATCCTTCGGGGAGTACGGGGCTGGAAGGGCGTGCCTCTTCTCCTTTGCGCTCTGTCAGGTCATCTTGGAGTGGGTGTATTTGGGCGTGGTCGAAACGACGACGTCCCTCAGGTGGGTTTCCCACCTGTTTCCAGTTCCGAAACGGGACCGTGTGGATCTGCGGTTCATTCTGGACTTGTCCCATCTGAACCCCTGGGTTGTTTGCCCCTCCTTTCGGATGACCACTCTGTCCCAGGTCAGGCTTCTGTTGGAGCCGGGCACTTGGATGGTGTCCCTGGACCACAAGGACGCGTATTGGCATGTCCAGATTCATCCGGGGTTCAGGGACTGGCTCAGGTTTGACGCCCCCAAAATATGTTTTGGGACGTCAGAGTTACTGCTTTCGTTGTCTCCCTTTCAGGTTGAACCTGACACCTCGTGTGTTCACTGCTTTACCTGGGTCATGGTGGCCCGTCTGTGTCTGTTAGGTGTTCTGTTAGTGACTTACCTCGACGACTCGCTGGTTTGGGCTCCTAGTCGATCTGCGTGTCTGCTCGCCAGGGGTTTGGTGCTTTCCCAGCTAGCTGGATTCATGTTCCTAGTGAACTGGCAGAAGTCCCATCTGGTTCCCTCCTAGGTTTGGACCTGGCTGGATCTTGTGTAGGACTCTCGAACCGCTTCCTTGTCTCTTCCTCCGGAGTCTCTCCTTCGGCTGCAGTTCCACATGTGCTTGTTTCTGGAGTCAGAAACTCCCGGGTTACCCGGTGGTTGCTCATGGGTCTGTGCAGGAGTCTGAACTTTGCGATGATGGTCTACCCGCTGGGTTGGGTTTGACTCCGTAGGCTGTTCTGGTTCCTTCGGGGACATCCTTACGCCTCTCTTGGGATCGCTGGGTTCGACCCCCAGGGGACTTGCATTGACTGCTGCGTCGCCTGCTTCCTTTTCAGATTTTTCGGGGTTCGGTGCCTTGGCTCCTACCCGAACCCTCGCTCGATGTCTCTCGCGGGAGAAAGCTCCCACACTGTGCGAGAGTTCATAGCGATGTGGTTTGTACTTCAGAGGGTTCGGGTCGCCCACAGAACGACGATCCCCAGTGGTTCATTGCCTGAACCAAGGGGGGGTTCAATGCGATCCTTGGCTCTTTGGGGCTGGTAGCTTTGAGTGACTCGTCTGCTGAGTTCTCAGGGTTTGACTCTCCTGGTGGGTCCATGGGGTGTCCAACGTCCTGGCAGATGACCTGTCTCAGTTCGTTCCCCTGTCCACGGAATGGATGGTTGATGCCGCCTCATTCAGTTGGCTCTGCCCGACGTTCGGGTGCCTGGAAGTGGACCTCTTCCTTGGTACTTTGGGGCTGGTTGCTTTGAGTGACTCGTCTGCTGAGTTCTCGGGGTTTGACCCTTCTGGTGGGTCCAGGCGGTGTCCAACATCCTGGCAGATGACCTGTCTCGGTTCGTTCCCCTGTCTACGGAATGGACGGTTGATGCCGACTCATTCAGTTGGCTCTGCAAGATGTTCGGGTGCCCGGAGGTGGACCTCTTCGTGCCGGCGTGGTCGAGGCATCTTCTGGTATATGTGGCGGCCTTCCCCGACCATGTGGCCGTTGAGATAGACGCCTTTTGGCAAGACTGGTCGAGGTTCCTGTAGCTCTCTCTCCCTGGTTTAGTTGTTGCTCCAGGTCCTGGCTCGCTTGGAGACTTACCAGAGGTGAGTAGTCCTTTTTGCTGGGTGGTTTCAGGCTCTGCTTGCCCAGTGTCCGAACCTGGAGGGTTTTTCTGCAGTTCCGCCTCTTTCAGAAGATCATCACAGTCCATTACGAGACTGGTTTGCTCTTCTTCTCAAGTCTTCGCATTTAGTGTTTTTGACGCGAGTTTATCACCATTTGAAAGGTGATCAGGTGGCTTCATTGATGGTGTCCCACCAGAGGGCTTCGTCTTGGCGGCAGTACGAAGTTTCCTTGCTGTCCTTCCATTTCTTTTTGACTCATCGTTGTACTTCGCTTTTGGTTCGGATGGTGTTGTCCTTTCTCTTGTGGTTGTTCCAGGACCATCATCTTATGCCGAATACTGTAGCCTCGTATCGCATGGCACTGGCGGAGCCGCTTCAGCTTGCTTTCAGTATTGATGTTACTTCTGCACTGTTTCGCAAGTTGGCTCATGCATTGTTTCACCTCCAGCCTGCTCATGCACTGCCTGAGCTGTCTTGGTCTTCTGACAGAGTGCTCTCCTATCTCTCCTCATCTCGGTTCGTTGAGGCCCCCTTTGGTTCAGGATTGTTTTTTGAAGGCCCTTTTCTTGTTGGCATTGGCCTCTGGGGGTCGGGTCAGGGAGCTTCATGTTCTCCTCCGGCGCAGCAATTTCTGCTCTTCCGGTCGTGGAGATAGGTTTGTTTGTCTGCAGCCGTCACCTTCTTTTCTAGTGAAAAATGAGACTGCTGCTTTCCGGATGGGTCCGTGGTTGTTGATGCTTGGTTCGTCAGGCTATGAGTGCATCATGTGCTGTGTCCCAGTTGCGGCCCTCCGCCGCTATTTGCATGCTACAGCTTCTGTGTCCGGGGATGCACTTTGTGTTGATCCGGTTACCTTCTTTCCTGTTCACGGGTATGGGTCTCTCGGGTCATCCACAGGGTTATTAAGTCTAGCCAGCCTGCAGTCTATCCCCGTGCCCATGACGTTCGTAAGTTCCCTGCTCTTACTGTCGTCTTTGGTAACATGCCCTGGGCTGACATTCAGGCACGGGGGTTTTTGGAGGTTGAACATGGTCCTGGCTGCACACTACCTCGTAAATGTTCCTGGGCCTAGTCAGGCATGTGTCGCTTTGGGTCAGCGACTGCAGCCTGTCTCGTCTTCAAGTTAAGGTGTAGTGCACCGACCGCCTCCTGGGTAAGTCCCCTTCTTTATTTTTAGTCTTTAGTGAAGTAGCTCCGGGGAGCCGTAGGGGCTTTCCCCAGAAAACCAGGGGGGGGGGGGAGCTGTGCAGACATGTAGCGTGGCTCATGGGACATCATGCTTGTTTGCTTGTTTTCAGTTGGGGAGTGTGTCCGCTTGTTTGTCTATTTTCGTCGTTTTTAACCAGAATAGGGGTTTGTTTTGGGGCCGCTTACCTTTCTGGGTGCCTGTCCAGTCGATGGCAGATTAGAATGCTCAAAAATTACATGTGCATTTCTATACGCCATTGCTCCTCGTGTGCCTCTGAAGGGGGTCAGGTTCTGGCTCATGGTCCCCAGTAGGCCTAGAACTTCACCCACATATACTGATGCCAATTTAGAGATATCCTTATCAGAGGGGATAACTCCAGGGAGCCTCCGGGACTCGCCCAGAAAATGGCATTTCATTACATTCAATGCCGGTTTTTTTTCTGTAAAAAAACACAAACAGTTGAATACTGCACAACTAAATAAACATTTGTTTTTCAACTGCTTTTCTATTAATATTATGAAGAGTAAAATAGCTCAGTCTTTTGTTGTGTTAACAGATCCCAGAGTGAGTTGGCCATCTAGGGATGACACCTAGGTAATCCCAAGGGATGTTGTCCAGTCTGCTCCTTCACAGTCTACTGCTTCAAATGGCCAAAATGTACACACACTGAGGGATCTCATGTCAATATTCTCCCACTTTGACCGTTTGTAAAAGCTCTCTTTTAAACTCGAATTATTCCAATAATCTGCTGGTGCCTTGTGAAGTGCAGCAGTTGAACAGACACAACTAAGAAGACTACTGCAACATTGAGGAGAAAGATCTTTTAGCCAATATTCTTTAATTTTAGTTTTTTAAAAGTCCATTGTGTCTTGAAATGTACAGTTGTGACAATTGTTTGAGATATTACAGTTATTGTATAATTATTATTACGTTACAAATTCATTAACTACACAAGTGTTGACTTATTAGATCGGTAATTATGATAGTTGAGAATATTTCTTATTCCACCTTGTTTGAGGTAGTTTGAGAGAGAACACAAACTGAAGTAGATTAATTAAATATGTTTGTGATGTAGTCTATATTCTGCTCCTCTTCAACATTCAAATTTCAGTAATATGATCAGTCACATGCACAAATTTATTATAATAGAGGTACACACAAAAAATATTACTTATTAGTATTCTTAAAGGGTGTGTATAATTAAACGATAAGAAGCTTTTGTCAAGAAAACATTGATTGACATGCTTTGTTTATGTTATCTCAGCTTTGAAAAAGTACTTATTTCTAGTATTAAGGTTTTCAAGCATGTAGGGGAGTCATACAGTGATTGTGTCAGTGTTGACTTGCTCTAGGTGTATGGTGTGGCCTAAGCTTTAACTTATATCAAAGATTTAAACGACCTTCATCCTGCCTTCCACAGTTTTTTAGATGGCAGGACCAGCTGAGATGAATAAGCTGAGCTAAAACCTTTTACACAACAGCTGTGTTACATTAACTAGCAGATGGTTAAGTTTACTAAGTGCAGGAACTGACTGACTTGGGTGCGCCATATACAACCCCACCTGGTCATGGGAACAGGATCGGGTACACCAAATCAGGAACATTAACAACATTACCAGTTGAGTGGTCAGCTCTTGTATGTAACTGGTGGGTGTAAGAGCAGCTTCCTCCACTCACATTTCGGTTTTAAGCTAACATAATTTACTTTCCCCCCATCTGTGAGAAAGTACCAACATAAAGGAGTAATGCACATATGCTAATTATGGTAAATAAACTTTATTGTGGAACTAATCAGTCAGAGCGCTCCTGCTAATGTTCTTTATTTCTGAGCTAGAGACCCACAGTACTGAGGCCCTGAGCTAGAAACATCAGGTCTTGTATACTCACAGCTGTTGAAGGTAGCTTAAAATTACAAGTTTAAGTAGCTTAGAAAAATATTTTTATTATTATTTATATGGGAAATTTACTTTGAATTTTAAACATTTTTTGTTTATTCTTTGAAAGGCAATTTATATGGTACATAATGTGCACTGTTGCTTGTCCGTCCCTTCTATCAGTTGCAGACTTGATCTTAGACGTAATGTTTTGTAACATTACATAACATTTGTTATGTAAACCTTTAGCTAGCAGAATATATTGCCATTCCTTCTCTCGGCTCTAGTCCGTGCCCAGCATGTCAAGCTTCACATCATATCAAGTTAATATTTCTTCTTCACCTCAGACTCAAAATATGTAATTGTATTTGCTAGCTATTGGAATGCTTCACTCATATTCATCTTGCTTTTAAATCAACAATAGAAGATGCTAAGTGTTCACTCACTTGTTTATGAGAATGAAGTGTGGTGATGTGGTAGTGATGTTAGTGCCTGAGATAGCCTCTGCTCATGTCGTCTTGCCTCATATATGTAAAATGGTACAATTGGGTCATATTATTCCTAATTTTCTTCACAATTATATTCTTTACTAACCACGTGATGAGTAATGCGAAATGATTCCCTTCCAGTATGACACTACACATGATAGTGTGTATAGTGTCAGTGTATTATCATTTCCTCATGATAATACCTATGTTTACTTCTTGGTCATATGTAGTTCTTAACATGTATTCTACGTTTACCAAAGTAGTGAGGTCTTTTCCTTCATCCGAGTCCTCCATCCTATACAGGTGTTTTCTTTCATTACCACTACTAGACATGACAATCTACAAATATACTGCCCATATGCCAGACATTCATCCCAAAACCATGGACAAATTTTCCGCACTAAGAACACCACCTTCCTCTTCCCCTCTTATATTAGACATGCTCCATTCCATGGTGCAAACATGCTTTCTTCATTTTCATAAATACTACCCATAATATCACTACACAAAGAATGCCGCAAACACAATTTCCATACAGACGGCTTGTGATTTGAATCCACAAATTTACACATTTGTGGAGTTGAACTGGTAAGCCTTTTATCCCAAGATTTGACGTGCATAGATGAATTTTGGAGTTAATCTGGCTGAAAACAGATATAAGAACATTAGTACGCATTAATTGTGCTATAGACAGCTGTGGTGCATTCTCTGACCTCTGTAGCATTCACGTGTTTTCAAACTTTTTGGGCTGTAGTTATGTAGCCTTGCACTTTCCAAGCATTCTTAGTTTCATTATATGCTGAATTTGTGGCTATAAAATGGAAAAAAGAACTTGTTATTAATTATAAAAAAAAAAGTATTGTGTTGAGTAAGGAGTTCAACAAATTTTAACATTTTGTATATGTCTGAAACCTGACCCCCCTTTTCCCATTGTGCTTAGAGTTTGATTTGTGCAGTTTTGGATTTGTATGTTTCCAATGGACCTTAGCACCCATACAACTCAAGGGTCAATTAAAATTATATGCATACTCCTCTATTTTACAACCACACTCCTCATAGTATGACCACACTCTGCTCTTCTTCTTCTCTTCTCTCATTCCTTCTTTCTTCCTCTACAGCTATCATAACCTGAATGGACAGCCCATCCTCCGAATAGACAGTACATTTTAATACTAAATATAATAAGTACAATCCTGACTATCGGCATAGTACATAAATACACTTAATCGCCAGCATCGCACCAAAATATTGTGAATATTAGAGTTTACCTGAAAAGCTGTATAGAAAACCACGACCTAACCTAACCTTTAGGAGTGTAGGAGGACAAGCATGCTTTTATTGCTTCTTAATTATAATTAGTACTTAACCTATAGTTATATTGATATTACAATTTTATAAAACTAATAAAACAAAACTAAAGTCTTTCAATAAATTATAAAGTAACTCGGGATATTTTCAAATTTTGTATAAAATCTCTTTTAAAATTGGAGAAGAAAATATCAGTGTTCAGTGAGGATCCACAAGGTACACTCAGATCCACTCTGAGTACTCTTATTTTCTTCTCCGAGGCTATGGGTCCCTACACTTGCACCAGAGGTAGTACCCCCATATCTCTATAGTTTAATAAAATTGAAAAAGAAATTCTATATACTGTACATAAATTTTAAATAAAGAACTGAACACGAGAACTTCAACCTAAAAATTTTGAGTGTATTAACAAAATTAGGAGAATATATGGGGACGTAAATGTAACAGCCCAATTAAGTGTATATATGTACTATGCAGACAATCAGGAATGTACTTATTACATTTAGTATTAAATCGTACTGTCTATTTGGAGGAAGGGTTGGAATGGAAAGCAAGCATTATTATTATTTTATGTAAATACAGTAAAATTAATTAAAACAAATTTGGCTTTCGTTTGCTAGAAAGAAAGAAATTTGAAATGCTGTATTTCTACTATTCAGTCTGAAAAACTGGTATTATACAAATGTTTGTTCTTTATAATACAAGCTTTGATTTATGAGGGTAAATATAAGGAATAAAATAAAAGCAGGAAGGGCAGAAAAGTTGTTAATTTTGTTATAATTAATATAACTATAATTTTGTTAAAATAATTAGATTACCGAAGAATCAAGCTTCCAATCATTTTTTTTTTTTTTTTAAGGAAAAGGCTAGGATGCTTTTCTCTGTTTTGCCCCAACTCCATACCCTTCTTTTTCTGTGATAACACCTCTTCCAGATAATTACAATAGCATATGGATGATAGAAACTTGTGTATATTTACATACTAATCCCAACTTGAGCATTACAGTGATACGTGTTCATTACTATAAGCTTTTATAATAGCAGCCTACTCTCATATTTCTATTTTCACCATATCTAGTCTTGAGCTCCTCTTCATTTGAGTCTGTTAAATGTAGGCTACCATTCTTTAAAAAATATGTTTGCTTTGAAGACGAGGCTTCCTTGCCAGTATTTTGCAAAGAATAAAAAAAAATTATTGCCACAAATTACAAGACCTTCAGATTTGTTAAGTGGTTTTGGTGCTTTAAACTGTGCCACAGAGTTGTGGAGTGAGTGTGCGGTAAGAGGGCAGCGGCTTCCAAGGAAAGTAGATGCTGTGGAATGGGGGAATGAGGAAGCAGTGTAAGTGGAAAATCAGAATACAGTGTATGTGGAGTGCACAAGTCATTGCATGGGAGAAGTAGGTGGTGGGGCGTGTGGGATGTAAGTGGTGTGGTGTGTGGGATGCAAGTGGTGGGACGTGTGGGATGTAAGTGGTGGTGCATGGGTAGTATAAAAGTTAGTGCATTGGGGATTCAGACTGTGCTGCGTGTAAGAAGCAGTAGGCTTATACATGGGTGGATGCAGGAGTCGGGGCATGTGGGTGGGGGATGCAGGAGTCGGGGCATGTGGGTGGGGGATGCAGGAGTCGGGGCATGTGGGTGGGGGATGCAGGAGTCGGGGCAGGGGGGTGGGGGATGCAGGAGTCGGGGCATGTGGGTGGGGGATGCAGGAGTCGGGGCATGTGGGTGGGGGATGCAGGAGTCGGGGCATGTGGGTGGGGGATGCAGGAGTCGGGGCATGTGGGTGGGGGATGCAGGAGTCGGGGCATGTGGGTGGGGGATGCAGGAGTCGGGGCATGTGGGTGGGGGATGCAGGAGTCGGGGCATGTGGGTGGGGGATGCAGGAGTCGGGGCATGTGGGTGGGGGATGCAGGAGTCGGGGCATGTGGGTGGGGGATGCAGGAGTCGGGGCATGTGGGTGGGGGATGCAGGAGTCGGGGCATGTGGGTGGGGGATGCAGGAGTCGGGGCATGTGGGTGGGGGATGCAGGAGTCGGGGCATGTGGGTGGGGGATGCAGGAGTCGGGGCATGTGGGTGGGGGATGCAGGAGTCGGGGCATGTGGGTGGGGGATGCAGGAGTCGGGGCATGTGGGTGGGGGATGCAGGAGTCGGGG